CCGCCGTAGCGGTATCTTCAGCGCAGCAGGTAAGTAACCAATCTTGTATCACTCATCTCTCTCTCTCGTGGTCTCCTTGTTGCAGGTGCGCGGCTTCTCCTTCCACCTCGAGGTCCGCTATGGCGGACTACCTCCTCCGGCGGCACTTCAGCTATGGCCGATCGGCCCTGCACACATCACGCGCATGGAACAGCGGGTACCTGCTCCGATACCAGTGCATTCACACTCCGATTATTCACACTTGTCTTGCATGCAAACAGCGATACAGCAACTGGCGACATGCGCCCTGACAGTACTTAAGGTATCGTAACCAGATATGAGTTCTCTTCAACTGGCTATGGCGACTGGGCGCCCACACAACTCACTGTTCGCACTCTGAATCACCCTGGATGTCCCACACGCAACACTCAGTATCATACGCAACACACACACACGCTATGCTACAGCTATGGCAGCGCTAGCTGCCACTACCTATCGCTACACTACACTTCTCTGCCCACTTCGTCTTCGGGCACACTGCAGACCTCCTCGCACAAGCTGCTAAGGCAGTGCTTCCGCATGGCATCCGCAGGAATGAACGAATGGCTGGACGCAGCCTCTTGATTTATACTTCTGCGCTGCGTTGGTCTGCCCTGTATCCCTGGCCCATGGTGCACACAGTCCCCCCCGTGGTACTTGCTGGACCGGACTGGTACTTTCTAGACTCTCCCATGATTGCATGGCGACTACCCTACGACGCAGTGCAGTTGCACTGGGGTCCTACTATTTGCCCTTGCCACTTGTCCTCGTCTCCAACATGGGCTTGCTTTAGTCACACCACTTGCCCACTTGCCTGAACCACTTGACCACTTGCCAACCTTCTAGAAGGACTGCAGCTAGCCTTCTAATCTACAGGTCTACGTATCGAATCCTGGCTACCTATAGACCTACGACAGACCTACCTACCACTGGCGGTTCTACAGGTCGCAGGTTCAACTCTTCGAGTTGACGCAGGTATTGTACACAGGTAAGTTGGGGAACTAGGGATCGAGCCCTGGGATCTGCCTCAGCTACCACGAATTGGTGAATACCGTTTCAATTCAAGTGTGTATGGACAATTGAAATCCTCGGCAAATCTTCCAATCAATTGTGAACTTGCGAATTTGTGAGTGTGTGAAGCGTGTTGGAGTTGCATGGTCTTGCTGAATTCTAACAGAGTGGAAACGTTTCAACCATACTTGCGGCGCATCACGTGCGCGCAAGTTGCGCACATGCGCCGCACAGCGCATGCGCACACGTACGCGCACGTGATGCGGCGCATTTACAAAAAAAGAATAAAAAAATCAGAAAGGGTAGGCTGTGGTAACCATAAGTGTCCCTTCCTTTGAAAAATGGTAAGTGCACAGAAAGAGAATATTTGGGGGCCTCTTCGTACTACTCATTGGTAGTATTCTCCTTTTGGAAGGGTGTTCATTGCACTGGTGGAAGAACACAAGCAGGCCAGCAATATATTCTGGATTCGGATTCAGGTCTGTGTTCCAAGAGTGGGTTACGAACTTACTACAAACACTACACTAGCTGTCTCCTTTTTTTGTTTTTCCTTTTCTTACGTGTCCTAAGGGGCTCGCTCCACTCATCAGCACTTGAAGAAAAGAAAAATGTATGGCGTGTATGGTTCCAGTTTCTAGGAGAAGATTCATTCTAGTGTTGCACATACAGTAGCTGTCTCGTTTTTTTGTTTTTCCTTTTCTTACGCTAAGGGCCTCGCTCCACTCATCAGCACTTGCAGAAAAAGAAAAACGTATGGCTTGTATGGTTCCAGTTTCTAGGAGAATATTCATTCTGGTCTTGCACATTTGGTGAGTAGTGGAGTGAAGCCCTGAAAATCACATGCCGAGTTAGTAAGTTAGTAACCCATAACTGCTGAAACACGGACCTGAATTCGAAGCTACACCATGCATAGCTGGCCTGCTATCTCCTTGCTACAAGTCCAGTAACGACCGGTCCAGTGACCACCCTTCTCCTGCCGACGGTACCCTTGCCAATTTTTGGCAGGGACCTTTTGAAGTACCGGCAGGGGTTGTCTGAATAATGTGAAAGGGCTCTGTGCTCTCTCTCTCTCTCTCTCTCTCTCTCTCCAGCGTGTATACACACATCACGGTTGCTTTTTTTTTTNTTTTTTTTTTTTTTTTTTTTTTTTTTTTTTTTTTTTTTTTTTTTTTTTTTTTTTTTTTTTTTTTTTTTGCATGTGCGCGCGTGCATATCTGCGATTAACGCACTGAGCAGCGCACTTCATCTACGCGCCGCAAGTATGGTTTCGACTGATTTGTCGTATTTGCAGTGAGATACATCTCCATTTTCCTGTTGTGACCATGCCCTAGGATTGTTCCGTAACTGGTGAGTTGGCTCATCTTGCATAGTCAAGCCGTTTGTCCGAGGGCGTACTCTTAAACGGACACTTTTGGCTGAATGCAGTCGTGGTCACGGCCAGATACATATGCTGTGAGAGTAAAGTGTCAGCATAATGACCTACCCAAGTCCCCTGACAGTCAGCAAGCACTCGAGATGCGTTCGGGATGCAAATTGTTATGATTCAATGTTCACTTTTGTATGTTTTTCCTTTTTGTTTTATAACTCTAGTCTTGCGCAGCTGTTTTACAGGCACTGTTGTTTTGTTTTGTTTTGTTTTGTTTTTCTTTCGGAACTCTTGTCCTGTGCAACTGTTTTGCAGGCACTTCGGCGAAATGTTTTGTATGCTGATTACGGAAGGATCACAGGTAAGTGATTACATTACGTTTGCACATGAAACCACACAAAAAAATCACAGCATTTGGAAAGTTCAAAATCTCTGTTCGTTTCCGTTTGTTTTTTTCTCTGATTTTTTCCCTGAAAATCCTTCGCCTTCTGTGAATTATATTAAAAACAAGTTCAAAAAGATTGACCATCAGGGTTAGTATAACGGTAATTGACCAGAAAGCTCATACATATTTCGCAACAGAGCAGGGCAACACTAGGGCATTGTCTCCTAGAATGGCCGATAGCTGCAGATCTAGATATGCTGGGATGTGGCATGGCAAAAGCTGGCTGGAACCCACTTTCCCTGGAATATCATGCTCAAACTGCTGGGATGCTCGGATCACTTTTCGCCATCATGGAGAACATAACCTATTCAATTTTCTTTCATCAGGTAGAGAGAGAGAGAGAGAGAGAGAGAGAGAGAGAGAGAGAGAGAGAGAGAGAGAGTCTCTGTTGCATTGTTACTGTTTCTACAGTACGTTTGCAGTCCAGTAGTGCGAACTCGCGGCCTGGATTGTGGCCCGATCACCAAAAACTCAGATTGGCCCACGATCTGGGCCGTTCAGCAAACGAATGATGTGGATAGAGGGCCAATCTGAATTTGGGTGATCGGCCTGCGATCTGGGCCTTCTGCTGTGCGAATGGCCGAGATGGCCGACCCAAAGGGACTTTCTGTCCGATACCGCCCGTTTCGGAATTTGTGTTGTTTTTCTGTTGATTTTCTGTGTTTTGTTTTTTGTTGTTGGTTGTTGTTGTTGGTACCATCCTTTTTGTTCGTTAGGGCTGTACATCAGTTAGGTTCTTCTTCCCGGACCGCCTTCTTTCGACCCAACCTGTGCACACGACCTATCGTGCACTATTGTGTGCTGTATGGCCTAGGCAACCTATCGTGCGACCCACCTGTGCTCACGACCCATGGTGCGCTATCGTGCACTGACCTTGGCGACCTATCATGATATTGTTATGAACTTGGTTGTCTGACGAATTTCTCGCCATTCACTCGCACATAGGATCTGACACACGCCCATACATGTACCAGACAAGGGGGAGAGGAGACAGAGTCCAAACTGCACACATACAGAGATAAGCAGCGGAAGTTCAACCATGCACAGATGGGGAGAAGACACTGCGTGACTCACACTCTCTGACAAACTCCCAACAACACAAGAAGAACCTGCGAGGATAACAATTGGAATACACACTGATGAAGAGCCAATTAAACCAGATATCGTTACAGAGTTTGTTGCAGTATCTCGCCACACTCCACTTTCTCCCACCCAGTTAGTAGCGCCCAACTGAAACAGCCTCCCAGAGGCCAGCACCAACCACCCAGATGAAGGACAGATCCTGCGATGGAGTCTTCAGTGCCGATGGACAACTCTGAGGAAGAAAACAGGCAGCTATGGCTGCCGCCACCCACAAACACTCAGTGAGGAGCCTCGATATAGCCTGGCCAGGCGCAGATACCCTCAGGGGTAGATGCGCTGAAGATGCCCCAGCTCCGGCAACTTTCAGAAGGCCGGCTATGGCTGCCGTCCACAGCAAGGGTCTCAGGATGCCGCCTGTAGACAATTGCCACCGCCAACTTGCTTGGCTTCTCCAAACGCTGCATCACGAAAATGAACAGCCAAAAGTCCCAAACAGTCCTACCCCAACCTACTTGTAGATTCTACACTATCCTAGCTTAGGGCCTACCGGTACCGTTTCAGTTAGGGCTCACTCGGCCTCTACGAAATCGGTCCTACCGCTGCACTTAGGGCTCAGGGCCACTTAGGGCCGGTAACCACTCAGCCCCTACTGCTGTTAGTCTAAGCTATTTTTAGAACAGCGGGCGGCCCTCAGTGCAAACAAAAAAACACAGCAAAGCACACAGCACACACACTGTACAACCTTGCAGTCAGTCTCGGCAGTCGAAATCAGCAAGTCATTGCACTATGCTATGTGTACTTAGGTAGTGCTATGTGCTATGGGCTACATCTCTCCCCCCCCCCCCCCCCCCCCCCCCCCCCCTCTCTCCCCCCCCCTCTCTCTCTCTCTCTCTCTCTCTCTCTCTCTCTCTCTCTCTCTAGTTAGCCCCCCCCCCCCCCCCGCCCTCTCTCTCTCTCTCTCTCTCTCTCTCTCTCTCTCTCTCTCTCTCTCTCTCTCTCTCTCTCTCTCTCTCTCTCTCTAACCTTGGTTCTACGTGCTACATGCTTCGTGAAGTTGGTGCTACTTGATATGTGCTACATGAATTGGCGCTAGCTACTTGAACTGGGGCTCTCTCTCTCCCTAGGAATGAGCTGTGTGAGTGAGGTTGGTACTTCCTGCTTCAAGATAAAGGATCTTGGTGCTCTCTCTCCCCGTCTCTCTTTGCCTTAACTAGGACCATTTTGCAACTTTCAGAGTTTTGGGTCCTAATCGGTAGGCCTAAACCGACAAGCACTTCTCTGTAAATTTTCTAATCTACTGTAGAAATGGGGCCTACTGGGCCTAAACCTCGTTCAGGCCTCAATTTTTGTTTTACTTCTGCCTCAAACTGGTAGAGCTGTTACTGAAGAGATAGGCCCATAATTGTTAGTTGGTCTACCCTTTGCCCTAGAGCGGTACTGTTGTTACTGGAAAACCGCAGACCCATAGCTGTTAATTGGTCTTAGGTCCTAGGCAGTCTAATCCGGTAGGTTAGTCTAGAACTATAAATGAAGTAGGTCCGAAGTGTTAGCTCTCTTTGGTGGAGCATTTGTTTAGTGCTGTTGATGCCGCCAGGGGCCTGCTGGAGTAGCGCTGTAGCTGGGCAGTCGCTGCTAGGGTTTGAGCAGCAGTGAAGCAGGTACTTCATCTGGTGGGTCTAATGTGACCACATTTGTGCTGTGGGGTTAGGCTCTGCCGTATCTTCTTCTTCGTGGCAGCTGTTACTTTTCCTCTTGAAGTTGGAGGTTCCTTCTTCATTCTGAAGTGGCGCTGCATATTCGGGGAGGTCCCTGGCCCAGCTCTGGAGCATCGGAGTGTTGTCTGGATTGCGCTGGTGCTGCTGAGACCATACGACGGAGGTGCTGGCGGTCTGCAAGGATTAGGGCTGGGTGCTGTGTGTTGGGTTGTGCGCTATAGCCAACTGTATGGAGGATGATGCTGGAGGGAGGAGGAGGGTCCAAAGGCTTGTTAAAGTTTGGTTCTGAGTTTGTTCAAGGTGGTTTATTCTTGGTTGAGATTCTTGGGGTCTTTGTGGTACTGATTGAGCTGGAGAGAGGCCAGGGACTATAAATTGATAATTTTCAATTCTTCTGGATTGTTGAGTTTCCACTGTGCATATCTCAATCTGTTTTGGTGTGAATTCCCTATCCAAATCTACTATGTCAGCTTGGCACGTGTGTGGGAACATGTTGAGGCTCTGCTGGATTGCGTTTCAATCAGTCACATAACAGTTGGCATCGGAGCTGCAACTGGGTACTGCTTGTGAGCAAACTGCTTGAACATCTTCTTCCAGGAGGCTGCTGGAGGTGGAGAAGCGTTTTTTGCTATCTTCAAGCAAAGCGATCTGCGGAAGGCTATGAATGGAGGTGTGTGAGGGAGAAGGCAGGTGTATTTCTGAATTTGGCTGCAGTGGAAGTTGTGAGTGAAACTGCAGGTTCGCGAGAGACAGCTTTAGAGTTTGTAACCCTAAAACATCCTGCCAAGTGTGGCTTGGGGTTTCCTTACCCTAAACTAACAGAGCACCAGTTCAGTTAGGGTTTCTAAGTGATCGGCGGCTGGGCGCTGAGGACTTGTCCATCCTCAAGGAAGTTTGGACCTGCATCCCAATGAAATTCGGCATCTTCGGAGACCATTTTCAGAAGTTTTCAATGGGCAGGTCAAGAGGGAGGTTGAATTGAAGATTCGGGAGAGAACAGTGTTGACCGTTGACTCATATGAGCCAGCCGGGTTGTGGAGATCAATTTCTGCATGGCGTTGCTGTTTCCTGGCTCCGGACGAAAGTCTGATTAGTCTTGGATGTTCAATCAAGTTTCTCTACTCGTGAGTTCATTACAAAATGGCTACCTAATTCTAGATTAGGGTTTCTGTTGGTACGCTCAGACTAGATTACGGTTTCAGACTGCATGACTGTGCTCTATCCTTTGTAGCCCTGATTTTAGCAAAGTCTACCATCTCTCTTGTCATCTATTTTTATTTTGGTTCTGAGTCACTGTTTTCAAATGTGCGTTGTATGTTTCTACTCGAAGTCTTAGGGTTCTGTCCAACAGAGTGTATTCTGTCAGCAACCTAGGGTTTAGCAGAGTCTGTTTTCTATCAGCGCTGCCCTATGTTGAGCTCTGTTAGTCAGTCTTCTGGTCAGAAGGGTTGGATCCGCTCTACGCTGTGTCTTGTTGTAAGTCGCTCAGTCTGCTTGGAAGTAGATGAGGATTGCCAGTCGGTCAGGGTCAAATAAGCATTGAATTAGTTTAGTCCTGAAGTAAGGAGCAGTCTGAAACAGAAAATTATTAGGCTCCTAAAACCACTGCATTTGGAACTAATGTAAAATGATACTAAAATCTTTCTTTCCCCACTGACAGTGCATGGCGATTGATGCTAATATGAGTTTTGGATTGGATCTCAAATTTATCTTTTGAGATGAAATCTAATTAGGGATCGAGCGAGATTAAAGGGGATCCGTTGTGTGATCTTGCTGTTGTTAAGACCTAATCTGTGCCTACATACCCTAATGTCGCCTACAGACACGTAACACCTTCTTGCCACTAAATTACCAAACCCCGATCCTGTAAATAAACATCAAAGAAGAATTTGATTTAGTCTGTGTTTTGTGTGTAAGGTCTAATATGAATTCCGTAATTATAGACTAAACAATATGGCTGATGGGGGATCAAGCAATCCGAATCAGGGCAGGGAAGAGAAGAAACCTCTGACCCATGCGGATTCACTTGATACTGAGGTTGTGGGAACAAAAGATGCCTGATGTACTGAACTTAATCAAAGATTTGCAGAATGGATCCTCTTTGAGTCCGCCCATAAC